ACTCACTCCTGTGGCTTCCATGCCAATAGACAGGCATATGGAAGGAACATTTACATCAGGTATATACACTCCTTGGAGTGATCAGTCATGGGAGAACAGAAAGGCAGTGTTTGCACAGGGAGATAGATGCAGGGGGTGGGGCAGGGATGCATAGGAGGGAAGGATACAGGAAGAGGTAACTACAGGGAGGAAGTGAGAAGAGAGCTGTTGCATTGTGGGGAATTGCAGTCAATGACATGAAACTAAATGCATATGAACTGCTGTATAGGAAATGAATTTTCTCTGTAAACTTTCACCCAAATCACACACACACACACACACACACAGAGAGACTCTCTTGTTATTGCCTCTTTCCAGTCTTACCATGTTTTCAAGATGGGCTTTTTCTAGATGTTATCTCATATTTGATTTCTATTTTGTAAAAGAGCTGTTATTTTTTTCTCAACTATAAAAGGAGGAAGTTTTCTAAATACCCTACCAGTTGTTGTTATGTGCTGTTGAGTCGGACCCGACTCATAGCGACCCCTCCTTGGGTTTCTGAGGCAGTATCCTACGGAAGTAGATTGCCCAACCTTCCTTCTGAGGAGTGGCTGGTGCGTTTGAACTGCCAGACTTCTGGGTAGCAGTCAAGTGCCTTAGGCACTACGCTACCAGAGTTCCTATCCTACCAGTTGTTGTTGTTGTTGTTGTTTGCCGTCGAGTCGGCCCCAGGATATAGTTAAAGAGGAGCACTTAATGAAATATTGTAAAGCATTGAAATGGATTATCAAATGTCATGTAGCAACGTAGATAAATGTGTGCAATAACACTAAGTGTGAAAATCTGAATTCAAAATGTTACTTACACTACAAGGATAATGTAAAAATACATGGAGCAGAGCTAGGAGAGATTATGAACAAACAAAAGCAATTGTGAATCATTAAAAGATCAGGATTGCTAGTGATTTTCTCTTTAGTTCTGTTACGGTTACAGGTTTAAATTTTCAAAGAGTAAAACAATACCGGTGGTTGCCTTTGAAACCATTTCATTGTCACTTATTAGTGACATTGACGGTACAGTCATAAATGATGTTGCTGCAAGAGAGGCTTAATGTTGTAATCACAGTTCAACTTTGTAGCCTCAGCCTGATGATTGCCTTAAGAGCCTTGCCAGCTTTCTTGCTAATCTTTTTTTTTTTTCCTTTTTATTGTGATTTGGGTGAAAGTTTACAGAACAAATTCATTTTCTATACAGCAGTTCACACTGATTTTGTTTCATGACATTGATTGCAATAACTATAATGTAACAGCTCTCTTTCCACTTCCTCCCTGTAGTTATCGTTTCCCTGTGTCCTTCCTTCCTATGCATTCTTGCCCTCTGAACTATTTCCCTTTGCAAATACTGTCCTTCTGATCTCCCATGGTTGATTTTTCTAAGGAGTATACCTACCTGGTGTAAATGTCCAACTTATATGCCTGTCTATTGTTTGGCTGGAAGCACAGGAGCGAGTTCAATTATTTCTTGCTAATCTTAAGCACATACACTCAGAAGGAACTATGGAGCAAGGGGATCCTGGTCAAATTATCTAATGTCTCTTAATTTTTATTTTCATACTTTTTTCCAAAAAGAAATTTGTAAGTGATAAGTCACCTAGTATCATTTAATACTAATAAGACATTAGGTAGAAGACCAGATATACATGTTATGTGCTCCCTAACTTTTAAGGAAAAAAAAATGTAGTTTCATTAAAAATGGTATAAAATTTGCAGTTATCTTTTAAGTTTTTCACTATGTAATGGAATATGAAAACTTTTCCCCAGTATATTTCATTGTTTTCATTTTCTACCCATTGGCTTACAATTTTATTTATCAATGATGAATTATAATTTTCTTTGTGTCCTCATAGTGTTTTCTTGATTTGTTTTAGCCACATAGACAACAAGGAGAAGAGGAAATCTGAGGTTATCTGAAACAATTACCACTGTATTCACATCCCAATTCTATCTCTTAAGAGAAGGGTTACTGAACTTCTCTAAGCTTCTGTTTTCTTTTCTGTAAACTGGGAATTTCATAGAAGATTGTTAGGAGAATAAAGGAAACCAATATATGTAAAGTGATTAGCACAGTTTTTGACACACAGTAAACACTCAATAGTTGTTAGTTAGTATTAACAACAGTAGGATTACTTTTGGTTTTAAGATATGTCATTCAGGAAATGGAAGAGAAAATTACAGCATTGGCAATCAATTTATTTTATGAACTTACTCTGAATTTGTATCAATATATGTACCAATATATATGTATATGTATCAATAATGACACATAACACCACCAAAAATATTAGTTTAGTTAGATAATAACCAAGATATTTTTATAATGTAATTTTAGACTTACCGTTCAAAAGCAAAATTTTCATTTCAGAAGTCTGATAAAGACAGCAGCTATGAAACAATTTCTGTTTGTTTGTTTTTGGTGTTTATAACACCTAAATATTTTGAAAACCCAATTATTTAATATTTCCCTTGGCAATTCTCTGTTTCTTATTTACAGTCCCCAGCTTTTTAAAGAGCTATTAAATTCTAACCATTCTTGCTATCACTTTAGGATTCTTTTAGATTTTTAAAACCGTATCTCATTTGTCAATTTCCAGAGTCGTCTCACACTAATCAAATCTAGCACTTTGTACTCTCATCTCCCATCCCTCTCATTTAACTCAAGGATCTAACCCAAACTCCCTTTCCCTGAGAATTCCTCCCCATCAATTTACTACTTTGACCTTTGATCTCTCTTATCTGCTAGATTCCTACTATCCTAAATTTACTGAGGAAGAAAAGAGGTAGCAGTACATACAGAGTATATTAAGGACAAGACCAAAATCTTGAAAATAACCATATGGATTCTATATTCACATAATGAGACTAGAAAAAAGAGGTAGCAGAACATACAGAGTATATTAAGGACAAGACCAAAATCTTGAAAATAACCATATGGATTCTATATTCACATAATGAGACTAGAAATTAATCATTAGAAAGTTCTAACTCATTCATTGGAGAAATTTTTAGTGGTAGCAAATATCTTATTAAAGCAAGTATTTTTTTTTTCCATCTAGATGTTACCTCCAATAAGACTGTAAAATCCTGTGTGGCTTTCTAATATTCTTGTCCTATAAATTAAACTTTTGTTCTCATAATGGCTCAGGTAATTTGAAAAAGAAGTGGTGACAGGGACTGGCTAAAAAGGTTCGCGAATTCCGTTTACTCTTCCAGAAATTAATTATGGCCAATGGGATGTTGGTGGAAGTGGTGTATATACATAATTTCCAAGTCTGGCCATAAAACCCCTTGGGTTGACTGGACCACATTCTCTATTCTCCTTCAGCAGTCACCTTAAAACCAAAACCAAACCCACTGCAGTAGAATTAACTCCGACTCATAGTAACCCTACAGGACAGAGTAGAATTGCTCCATAGAGTTTCCAGGCATGTAAATCTTTACAGAAGCAGATTGCTTCACCTTTCTCCCACGGAGCAGCTGGAGGGTTTCACTGCCAACCTTTTGGTTAGCAACCGAATATCTTAACAACTTAACCACTGTGCCACCAGAACTCCTTGCAGTCATCTTAGGCAGCCATATATTTAAAATGATAATTTTCCCAAATTACAAAAACCTGCATTCCCAAGTCACCCTTTGGAGAGAATGCCCAAGAATGGCTTTTCAATCCCCATTGAATTGTGATATAACCAATTAATTGACCTTTATTGTGCTAAACTATTGATATTCCAGTGTTTGGTATAATAGTTTAGCATAGTCAAGCATTTGGCTGTTAACCAGAAGGTTGGCAGTTCAAACCCACTAGCTGCTCCATGGGAGGAAGATGAAGAAATGTAATTCCATAAAGATTTATAGCTTTGGAAACCCAATGGGGGTCTCTATGAGTTGGAATCAACTCAATTGGAGTGTTTTTTCTTTTTGAACACAATAATTTGGAAATGGAAGCCCCTTTGTCCAAGAAAGCTATCTAAATTTCGCCTTAGATGGAACAACCAATCTAAGACTCAGATACTTGTTGAGCTGAAGGATTTCTCTACCAGGGGAAAAAAAAAAAAAAAACCACACAACTCTATAAGGCCACTCTGATCAAATTCCTACCATGTTCCACCCTCACTTATAATCCTTTAAAGGGTCCACATGGTCTAAAATTTAAGATCTTTCAATGTTGTTGTTGTTGTTATGTGCCGTCGAGTCGGACCCAACTCATAGCGACCCCTCCTTGGATTTCCGAGGCAGTATCACTACGGAAGTAGATTGCCCCATCTTCCTTCTGAGGAGTGATCTTTCAATGGTCACCCCAAAATGCCAAGCTTAAAAGGATTAAATTCCTGTAAGACAACATGCATGGCACTTGATAAAACATAGTCACTCAACAAATTTTATTTCCTATCTTTTACTTTGAAGTGTTCTAGACTATTAAATTGACAGATATTTGATGGAGTTGTGGGGGAAAGAGGAGAAGAAGGAGAAGGAAGATAAAGAAAAGGAACAAGAGTTGGGCTACATGTCAGAGCGTGGGAGCAGAAAGTGAGATTACACCTCATCCCTTACCTTTACAATCACCTCCTTCCTTTTCCATTCAGAGCCCCCAAATAAGGTAAGAAGGAGTTAGAGCTGCTAATTTTTATAGGAAGGAATTGAGCCCGACTACTTCGCTACATGCTACTACGTAAGTATGTACATCAACTTTGAAATGATTTTTTAAAAATGGTGCAATGTGAAAACCCACTAAATCTCAACTATTAGACACAGGTACCTTTAAGACTGATTTCAGCCATCAGCTTTCCTCTAACCTCTACTTTACTCTTACTGAACAAGTCTACTATTCATTTCAGCTTAAATATAATTTTCCTTTAATACATTTATATTATAAAGCATTGAATCTCGACCCATAGTACATGATTTCATCAATTGTAAACAGTTTTTTTTTTTTTTTTTTAAATTTAAGAACATATCTTTGGTACTAACCTTGGTCTCCGTGATTTTCTTTTGGATTGCATCCGTTGTGTAGGGACCCTCCTTCCACGATTCCAGCTTGGCTCTGGCCTGCCCCAACACCTGCTCAGCTTCTTCCTTAGCTTCCAGCCATTGTGTTGAATCCTTTAACATTTCATTCAGCTGCTGCCTTCGGCTCTGAAGGTGTTCCTGTACTTCATCCCACTGACTCTGAATTCTTTCAACTGGGAAATAAAAGAAATGAACATATAGTAGTAAATGCTAAGTGTGGAGCTGTCATTTGAAATTTAACATCCACACATTATCTCACATGTTATATTGCTCATCAAAAAGCATTGCTCACTACGTTATTGGTAAACTATGGAAAACAGGATTCCTTAAATTTTTCGGATAACAAATATAATTTCCCTTCAATCATATTCCTGAAGGTGACTTAGAACATTAGTATTATATCTAAGAATGTGTGTTTTTGTTATTCTTAATCCCTACAGACAAAAATGAATCATCTTGTAGAAAGGTACTACAGCAGAATGTCCATATCCCCTTGCTCTTACCACTTCAGTGCATAACAGCCTGGCTTCCAACAGTGAGCATTCGTATTTCATTGCTTGAGGACTTTCTATTGTCACTAGATTCTACTTTACCACCTAAGTGACAGGCTTGAACACTCAGGGGATTGATGGCCACCCCCTTGTCCCCCACGAGCAGCCTATAACCAAGGGCTGATGGGAATCATGGTATGAGTACTCCAGTGCCATTGAACCTAGGGAACATAACTCTGAGACATTAACTCTAAGTTTATGAGGGTCCCCAAAGTTTCCTCGTGGAATAAAGCTCCAGTGGCTCACAGTGGTTGCTTGTTTGATTATAATCCTTTATTGGTTGCCTTGCCTTCTCTGTCTCACTTCCCCACTTCCCTGCTGATGTTTCCTTTACTTGCCAAATAAACGACATGCACTCAAAACCTCTTCCCCAAGGTCTTCTGGGGGAAAGCAAGATCAGATAGGTATACTGGAAGTTTCTTGTAACAATGTATTAGAATCTGTCCCAGTATATTCTGTAAGTAAGACTGGCTAATACTGAGGCTATTATTGGTATTATTGTAAGTCTAATAGGGTTATCTTACAGACTCTGATTCAAATGACTTATTTTAGAATATAGAAAATAAACACAACCACATTCTTTTTTCCAAACAACTTCTTTGATTTGGTTTTACGAAATAAAAATAATGTCAGAGGAAACAAGTAATAAAATCACCATCTACTACATCCCTTAAACTAGAATCCTGACAGCCATTCAGGATTCTCTGTAAGCCTCATCCCAAACCATATGTAATCAGTTACTAAATTCTCTCATAAACAATTTATCCTCTCTTTCTTCATTACCACAGCAAAGCTCTATCATTTTTTGCCTACACTTCTGCAATAGCCTCTATACAGTGCCCTTACAACAAGTCTCTCTTTTTCAATGTAACTTCCATACTGTAGACAGAATAATAATTAATAAAAACCTTATCACCTCACTCCATTTAAAACCATTTCCACCTCACTGTCTTCTGGAATATCTTAGCTTGACATATATGTTCCTCTGTAATCTGGCCTACTTTATAATGAGAAGTTTCTTTACAAAGGAACAAATTATAACTTAAGCAAAAAAAAAAAAAAAAAAA